CGCACCGGCCGCGCTGCCCTCCAGGGGAGGCGGTGACCTCTGGCGGCCGGGGCCCGCCCCGCAGGGCCGCGCTGCCGAGCGCCGCGCTCCCCCCGGCTTTCTGACTTGGCACCCGGTTGGCCCGGACGGCGGGGCCCCAGGTGGACGGGGAAGAGCGTGATTCTCCTTTGTCACAGTCAACTTTAATAAAAAATAAATTAGTTCTGGGGCGGGAGCCATTTCGTCGTGGAGCTGGCAGTGCAGGCGGGGCCGGGCTCCCGCGAGCCCCCCTCTCCGCGCGCTGCCGCAGGCAGCGTTGGAGCCTCGCCCTCGCCAACTGGGAGGGCGGGGACAGAGATGGGCGGAGGCTGAGGGGCTCAGGGCCGGAAGGGGGGCTGCCGGGGCCTGCCGGGGTTCAAACCCAGGGTTTGGTGCCTGCCTGCCAGCAGCCTACCGCCGAGCTACACCCCAGCCCCAAAGCGCGAGAGCCTCGGGAAGCAGAGCCGCCCCTCCGCACGCCTCCCCAGCCCGGGACTGTGACTTCTCCGGAAAGTGACGCCGGCTCGGGGCACACACCCGGCCCGCCGCACGCGCGCCACCCCACGAGCACGGACCCAGCCACACCTCGACGGCCACTGTCCGTGGCCTCGCGGCCTCCAGTCGCCTGGAGGTAAAACGGACAGGCTGGAGAGGCAGGGGCGCGGCGCGGGCTGACGGTCAGAGAGCTGGAGGAGCGGCCCCCTGGGCCCTCTTCAGGCGGGCTCCAGCGGGGAGCGCTCCAGGATGTGCGCGCAGGAGCGGCAGCAGGTGGCCGTGTAGTAGGGGTACACGCAGAGCCGGGCCTGTACCACCAGGGGGCAATGTGGAGAGCTGTCCTGGCATCGATCGTCTGGGACAGGGGACAGAGGCCGGCGGGACCGTCACTGACAACCATGTGCGGGGAAGTGTGCTGCCCGCCTCCGCCACACCCCGCTGACCCCCAACTGCACTCTTCGGGGGCAGGGAGGGGGGTCTGTACCGGGCTGCTGGCTGCAGGGCTGGCTGTTACACTGCCGTTTCCCGGAGGGTCGCAGGTGCAGTGGGCACTGCGTGCCGAGGGTCTGGTTGGCGCTCAAGCACTGGACCTCCCTCGTCTGCGTGCCACCCTGGCAGGAGCGAGAACACTGGGGAGACCCAGCGGTGGGATCAGATTTTGCTGCGTTCAGGACCCCGCCGGAACCTGTGGCCAAGCCTCCCTCTCTGCAGAGTAGTGGTGGGACGTTACTCTCCAGGGACCGGGTGGAATCCTGGATGGACAGGGCCCACCTGTGCCCCGAGTCCAAAGGATACGGGGCAAAGTGAAACTTCAGCTGGGCCCGTCCTGGGGTTTGGAGAAGCTTGGGGGTCCAGTGAAAGAAGCCCCCACTGCACTGGAAGCTCAGGCTGAGCAGGCAGGGGAGCCAGCACTCACCGGACTCCAGGGCGCGGAAAACCATTGGTCCCGGCAGGCCTGCCCCTCACAGGGCTGCAGGGCAGGAGGCCTGCGCAGGTGGGAGCAGTTGCTGGGAGAGGTCACATGGAACTCAGCCCCCAGCTTGGACACACAGATGACGTCTCTGTGCTGTGTGCCAGAGCCACACTCTGAGGAGCACTGGTGTAGGGAAGGAGAACAGACATCACTCCCAAGCCCGCCGCGCAATCCCCGGCACCCGGCCGGCCCCTCCCAGGCCCGCAGCGCACCTCAGCCCAGGGCCCCGTGTACCAGCACCACGTCCTCTCGCAGGGCCCCGAGCTGCAGGCGCGCATGTCGGGAGGGCGACTCCCCGGCGGACAGCTCTCCTCACCGGCCCCGGCGCCTGCGTCCTCCCCGCCCCGCCCGCGGGTCTCCCCGCTCCCAAGGCAGACCACCGAGCGCCGCTGGACTCCACTCCCACAGGGGGCTGAGCACTGTGGAGAAGCGAGCGCCTGCGTGGAGGGAGCTGCTGGGGACCGGAGCGGGGCAGGGGCTTGCGATGAGGCGTCCTGGCCCTGTGTCTGGGAGCTGGGGAAGGCACTGGGCACCAGCCAGGCAGCACCCTGATGCAAGTTCTTCTCCCGTATGGGAGACCCAGGACCAAGCACACAGTAGGTGCTTGCTCACTGTTTGCTGAGCTGAGCTGGACAGACTGCGACAGGCAGGCGGGGTGTGGTCACCAGGGATGGGGGCTTGGCTGAGAGGTATAGGGCCCACCTTGGAGCTCCAGTCACTGTGGAACCAGGCGGTGGTACAGGGCCCCATGTCACAGGCCTCTCTGCTGGGGGGCCGCGGGGCGGCTGAGGCACAGTCCTGTTCACTCACTTCGTAGCCGCTGTTTCCCACACAGCGGACCTGCCGGCTCCTCTGGCCTCGCCCACACCGCACGGAGCACTGAGGGTAGGAGAGGGAACCAGGGAGCTGGGCTCAGGCAGCCTCAGCCTCTGGCTTTTACCCAGCGTCTGCCCCAGCTCAGTGGTTACAGGGCTTTGTGGGCTGACGAGGCGGCTGAGCCAGCGCCCCAGGCCCCCAATCTCTGGTTCAGTCTCTTGTCTGACATCCTTTACAGGGGTTCCACAGCAGGACCCCGTTTGCAGAACGTTTCTGCTGACGAAGAAAGAGGTGGAAAAGCCACTGCTCTCGTTCCCTGGTGCCCATCCGCGGGGCTCCCTTGCCCCAGCCACTTACCTTGCTCCAGGGGGAGCCCACCTCCCAGTGGCCACAGAGGCGCATCTGACAGTGCTGGGTAGTGTTGGGCCGGGGGAGGTGCCCGCAGCGCTCTGGGGGCACTGAGGAGCCACCACCCCCAAACTCCTGCCGGCAGTGCAGTTGGCGGTGCTGGGTGCCAGGGCCACAGGAGCGGCTGCAGGATGTCCACTCACCAGCCTCCCAGCTGCGGGCGTGGGCAGGGCAGGAAGGAGGAGAGATGGCAATGAGATGCTGCCGCGTGGGGGTACACTGGGCGTGGGGCCTGCCGTAGGAGAGTGGGCATATTTAGCACTGGAGTTGGGGTTTCTTGCTGGGGTGCGGGCTGCCTGGGTTTCTCTGCTGTCTGTGCGATGTCAAGCCTTATCTAACATTGTCTCCTTGCAGCCAGGAGGTGCTCAGTTGAGTCCAGGGAAGAGCGTGTGGGCGGGGAGCAGGTTCAGGGGCAACTGTTGGGTTGCCGGTGTCCTAGCCCTCCCTGTGGGCCATACTCACTATGCAGGGCATGGTGGGCCGTGGCAGGGCTCAGGGGAGGCTGGGGGCCTGGCACCCATAGCACAGCTGTGTTCGTCCAGTTCCTCTCCTGACTCACGAGAAGCGCAGAGGAAAATGGGGCGCCAGACACCTGAAGGGGACAAGGAAGCAGTCAGGGAGGCGGCCACGGTGTCAGGCTGGGGATTCAGGCTACAGTCCCAGGGACACAGGCATGAAGTGTCACCTTTCCCACAGGAAGCCGAGCACTCGGAGTACCCTACTCGCTTCCAGTATCCAGCTGGAGACCCCAGGGGTGACCTGGGGTGGGTTGCGGCAGGCGTCTGGGGGATCCGCACCTGACGCTGGAGGGTACCTGGAGTCCGGGCTGGGCGGGGCACTGAGGGGCGTGGGGGCTCCCCCCTCAGCATCTCTGCACAGGAGTTGAGTAGACCGATCAGGTGCCTTGCTACCGCCTCCAAGGCCCTCTCGGCCTCTCCCTCCTCCTGGATTGGTCTTACCAGGCCGAAGCTGGGGCACAGAGGCCTCTGGAGTGGGGCTCTGGAGGACTGGAGGAGGTGACGAGATGACATACTGATAAGAAACACCTGGGCTGTCCTCCTGAAAGATCATCTGGGGAGAAGAGACAGAAATAGACATTAGGGGTGACTACAGAGCATACCAGAAGCCTCCTCTCCCACTGACCCCCGCAGCCTTCCCTGTAGAAGGAAAGGCCTCGTGGGCCCCGGGCTCACGTAGACATCCACAGGCTGGGTTGTGGGGCCCGCAGCTGACAGACTCTCGCCTCGGCCCTCCTCCCGCGGAGGGCGGTTGTACAGGAAGACAGTCCCGCTGCCCGCGTAGGACCCGGGGGGATCCACAGCCCAGTTCCCATTGATGATGGAGCGGCCCCCAGGGCCTCGAAGTGCTGAAGAGATCCCAAACTCGAGGTTGGTCACACTGTCTTCCGCCCCAGCACTCCCCACAGCACCCGAGACATCCCAGGCCGTCTCAGCTTCCTGACTGCCTCATTTGGCTTGTTTGCCATGCTGACAGAACAAGGGGACGGGAAATGGAATGGGACAGGGCCGGGAGCCTGGGCTCTCACCGAGGTAGTTGGAGCTGGGCCGAAGCTGGGCGATCTGGAGACGGGAGGCCCCAGCAGGAATCTGCAGGATCTTCTGGTAGCCCAGAGGGCTGCCCCGGTCAGTGAGGTTCCCCGAAATGAGGCGACAGGTAGAATCGTCACCCCCACAAACGCCACAGCCATCTGGACGCCTGCCAGAGCCAAGGATCCCATCACAGCCGGGGCTCTGGGAAGAGTGAGATGAGACCGGGGCCACACGAATGCCAGGTATCCACATCCCTCGTGCACTCAGGACCCTGCATTTGTGACCTTGCTCCCTGTGCTATAAGTGGAGTGCGTGTTTCTCCACGGGCCCCACCATCCCTGCCAGGCTCAGGGCCTGGGAAGCAGGGGTGTGCCTGGCAGACTCTTCCTGCAGCTCTCCTGTGGCTCTGCCCAGCGGAGCTCCGCAGACGAGGCTTTCTCTTTGGCAATCTGTCTGGTGGTGGTTGTGATGAGTGAAACTCACCACTGTGTGTGTGTGTGTGTGTGTGTGTATGTGTGTGTGTACGTACACACGCATCTGCCCTCCCTCACCAGGCAGCGTCCAGCTACACAGATGTCTAGAGTTCCAGGTTGACACGGAGTCCCATCCTGGACCTTTTCAGTGTGACGGACATAGAAGCGGAAGCCACGAGGACGACAGTTCAGTTCACAGCGTTGGGAGCCCTGAACTAGGAGACCAGGGAGAAAGCAGTGAGCCGGTGGGAAGCTAACTGGGAAAGCGCCACCCCCCAGCCTGTCCAGCTTTGCTCTGATTGTCTATGGGTCAACCGGAAGTTGCTGAGTTGCCATGGGTGAAGGGAACAGGAGGATTCCATACGCTGCAAAGTTGGTCAGAACAAGAGGCCACAGAGTGTCAAGGTTTGGTTCTGTTTTGCAGTACTGGGGACTGAATCCCGGGTCAGTGCACCGAGCCACATTTCTCGGCCCCCTCCCCTTTTTCTTTGGTTTTTTTGAGACTGGGTCTCGCTATGTAATTCAGGCTGGCCTTGAGTTCAGTTTGTAGCCCAGGCTGGCCTCAAGCTTACAATGACCTTCCTGGCTCAGCTTCCCAAGTTCCCAAGTGCTGGGGTTTAAAGGCGTGCACTACCATGCCTGGCTTTTACATAGACTTTTAATTTATTTATTTGCTTCCTTTTTGGTTTTTGGAGACGGGCTCACAAAGTTGCCAGGTTGGGTTCAAACTTGCAATCCTCCTTCCTCTACCTCCCAAATTACTAGGATTGCAAGCATGTACCACCATGCCAGGCAATTGTTTTTTTTTTTTTTTTTTTTTTTTGGTCTTTTTGAGACAGGGTCTCGCCTTGAGCTGGCCTTGAGCTCACTTTGTAGCCCAGGCTGGTCTCAAACTCACAACAATCCTCCTGTCTCAGCCTCCCAAGTGCTAGAATTACAGGCATGTGCCACCACACCCGGCTCTTGTTTTGTTTTTTGAGACAAGGTTTCCATAAGTTCTCTGGCTGACCCCAAAGTTAAGGGTTCAAGTGACCCTCCTGCCTCAGGCTCCAAGCAGATGGGACCACTATGCCCAGCCATCAGGGGGGCTTCTGACACCTACAATTGTGTGGGCACAGAACTCATGAGGGTTTGTTTTAGTGTCAAGCTGACTAAAATCAAGTGGATGGTTATTTGGGAACAACTGATAGGATACTGCACTACCCCAGATCCATGGCACAGCCTGCCCTGCTATGCACGCTGGACAGGATCTCATAAACATACTACCTCCCAGGATGGAGGTCTTTCCAGAGGAAGGCAGCCCAACGACGCCTCTGGACCCCTCCCTCTCCAAGCCTGACCCCTGTGGTGCCATCTATCGGGCCTGACAGCTGAAGGCCTGTCCAGGAGCCCTTCCCTTCCCAGCCTGCACTAAGTCACCCAGTAACTTAGTAAGACAGGGTGACACAGGAGAAAGAGAAGGGCCTACACATGCGAAGGGCTGGAAAGCCTCCCCGTCTGAGGGTGAGCAGGTGCTTCCCTGTCCCCAGCTCTCCCATCGCATGCGTGGGCAAAGCTCACCTTCCATGAAGGGCTCCCACTGGTACCGCTGACCCATGAACTCCTGGGAGTCAAAGGCTGCACACTGCAGGGCCCGGGGATCTGGCTGCTCCGGGGGGCAGGGCTGGGTGGGGGAAACAAAGCCGTGGGAGCTGGGGAGGAAGCCAGGGTGGGGAGGGGGCTGGATTTGGGGAGTGGGGGGAGGTCGGGCCCTGGGCTGCGGAGAGACATGCTGAGGACCCGAGAGAAGTCTGAGCTGGGAGAGGGTGCCCAGCACAGAACTCACCGCCTGGCTGCAGGCTCGAAGCTGCTCGCTCTCCCCGGAACATCTTGGGACAGGGTCACTGGGAGCGAAGAGGCCCCAGAAGGAGGTGGGGTGGGGCCCAGCCCTCAGCAGGGGCAGCCACCCCTGTGGGTGGTGACGGGCAGGCCCGGAGAGGGACCCGTGAGGACTCCCCCTAGGCCGCCAGTGTCCCCGGCTCTGCTGGCCTTGGCCCCGAGGGATGTAAGGTGAAGGATCCGGGCGTCTGCCTGCTACCTGGGGGCTGGCCAGGCGGTGGGAGGGAGGCATTCTCGGCTGAGGGGATGCAAGGAAGGAGGCGCTTTCTCCAGAGGTGGAGGTGCGAGAGGCAGGCCCCGCACCCCCAGAAGCCTGGACTCCAGGGTAGGGCTGTGTGGGGTCAGGGCTGGTTCTGGGGGGCACCTCTGTCTCAGCAGTTTGGGGCCTGGCAGGTTCTGCTGCAGGGGGTGGGGTGGGAGCAGCGGGTCCTAAGGACAGGAACTGAGTTTGGGGGCTGTGCTGTGCAGAGGAGGGAAGGGGACTGTCCACTGCAGCAGAGGCCACGGAGGGCTTGGGCCTGGCTGAGACCCTGGGATGTCTGCGGCTCCGGTGCAGTGGCAAGGCGAAGGGCACCCTCCCGTAACCAAACATGCCGGGCTTGATGGGGTCTCGAACCCAGGACCTGCGAAGGTGTTGCAGACAAGAATGAGGTCACAGCTCTGCCCATCCCTGCCCTTTCTCCTGGCACGGAAGATAGGCCTCTGAAGCCACCGTGTTCTCGTGTCCTGTTCCCCCTTCCTCCACCAAGCCCTGCCCCTTCCCCTGAACCTCACCTCCAGGCCTCCTGGGGCTCCTCTCGTCCCACCTGGGAAGCAGGACCTCGAAGTGGGCCGCCCCTTCCCCGAGGCTGTGACCTGTGGAGCGGCCAGGTTTCTCCCGGAGTCTGAGGTCTGGGGCCCAGACCCTGGGGGTGCAGGGCTTCTGGGTGTCGTGGGGGCCCGGGAGGCAAGACCAGGCCTGCGGGGAGGTGACACATCCGGCTTCTGCGCTGCACCCCCACCCCGCAGGGCTGGGAGCAAGTGGTCCACTGGTCCCAAGGGCCCCAGACACCCTCAGGGACCCGGCCCTCCTCTGAGGGTGTCTGAAGAGGGTGTCCAGACAAGACCTACATAGAAAAGAGGTAAGACAGAGACAGGGCGATGGGAGGGGATGGTGCTGAGTGGCCACCTTGCCCAGGGCTCTGGCCGAGTCACACCCAGGACTCAACTCAGCAGTTTCCGTGATCTGTCGAGGAGCTGGGGGCTGGCAGGGAGGGGCAGGCAACGGAGCCCTGGCTGAGGCTCTGGGACAAGGAGCCCTGACTCAAGAGCTGGGGGAGGGGACGGGAAGCTGAGGGGACCCAGGCGGGGGCAGCAGCGGCTCACTGCCCAGGCTCACCTCCTGGTCCAGGCAGAGCTGCGGGAGAGACAGAAGCAGCATCACGCACAGCCAGGGCCTGCAAGTCAAAGGAGGGGTCGTGAGACTGCACTGGAGGTATGACCCACACTCCCAGGCTCCCCACATCCTGGCTTCCCTGCAGGCAGAAGGGCCTCGTCCCTTGCCAGGGTCCCTCCCAGTCATCCTCCCCGAGACTTTCAGGGACCGGGCCACCGGGCAGCCCCTCACCTGCCCGCCTGCTTCTCCATCGCTGGGCCTGGAGGAAGCTACTCAGGCATCTGGGCATGAGGGGTGTACGCTGCAGGGGCAGAAGGCTAGGGGTCACCTCTCAGGAAAAAACTGGGGGCTGGCTGGGTGGCAGGGGAGGCTCCTCAGAAAGTGTGGGCAGAGGGTGGGGAAGCACAGCCCAGCCCGTTAGGAGCCTCAGCTGGGAGCAGAGGAACACTGCAGGGTGGGGGTCTGACCTCAGCTTCCAGGATCCCAAGTCAGTCCCCTCCCCTTGGTGCTGTAGGGACTCAGCCCCTCCCTCTATCCTGAGCTGGGCTGTGCTTGCCAGCTTAGGCCATTCTTAGGGTTTCCATCTGACTCCCACTCCTGCCCCCCTCCCACCCTCAAGGAGGGAGACTCAGGTGAGGATGGGCAAGATACCGGAGGCCCAACCGGAAGCCCTAGAAACAAAACCTTTCCCAACCATCTATTTGCTACCTGCCACCAGCCTTTTCGTCTCTCCCAAGCTAAGCCCCTGACAGAAGGAAGAGTCGGGCACATCTCAGCCTGCCTCTCATACTTTCTGGCTAAGGAATAAGCTAAGTGGGTTCATTTATGGAGAAAAAGCAGGTGATTCAACCTCCCTTGAGTGCCAGCAGCTATCTGGCACTGGCTAAATGGGAGCCACTTTCTTTCTCCTCCATCCTTCCCTCTTCCCCTCTTCCTCCTTTGCTTCCTTCATCCCTTCCCTTGCTTTTCCTCTCCTTCCTTTCCTTTCTCCCTTTCTTTCTTTCTCTGATGCCTATAATCCCAGCACTCAGGAGGCCGAGGCAGGAGGATCACTGGGAGTTTGAGGCCAGCCTGGGGTACACAGTTGAGTTCAAAGCCAGCCTGAACTGCATAGCAAGACCCTGTCTAGAAAAGAAAAAGAGAAAAGAATCCAGGGCCTTTGCACTGAGCTACTATATCTCCAGACTTTTTATTTTTTTGAGGCAGGATCTTGCTCAAACTTGTGATCCTCCTGCCTCAACCTCCCAGAGTTATGGAACTACAGGCCTGTATCATCATGTCAGGCTTAGGACCTACTTCATGTGTGCCTAATTTTCATTTCTTTTTTTTGTGGTGGTGGGGATTGAACTCAGGGCCTCATGCATGCTAGGCAAGTGTTCTAACACCAAGCAACTCCTTTTTTATTTTTACACAGGGTCTCACTAACTTGCTTAGGCTGGCTTTGAACTTGTGATCTTCTTGCCTTAGTCTCCAAAGGAGCTGGACTTACAGGTATGTGCCATCATGCCCAGCTATTTTTCTTTTTATTTATTTGTATTTGAGACAGCATCTCACTATGTAGCCCAGTCTGGCCTTGAACTTACCATCTTCCTGCCTCAGCCTCCCAAGTGCTGAGACTACAGGGATGTACCAACACACTATTTTTCTTTATCTTTCTCTCTCTCTTTTTTTGGTCTTTTTGAGACAGGGTCTTGCTATGCAGTTCAGGCTGGCCTTGAGCTCACTTTGTAGCCCAGGCTGGTCTCGAACTCACAAGGATCCTCCTGCCTCAGCCTCAGTGCTGGGATTATAAGCATGCACCACCACGCCCCGCTATTTTTCTTCTTTTTTAAAATTTGTTTTTGTCTGTAGTCCCAGCACTCCGGAGGCTGAGGAGGAGGATTATTGTAAGTTTGAGACCAGCCTGGGCTACAAAGTGAGCTCAAGGCCAGCCTGAACTGCATAGTGAGACCCTGTCTCAAAAAGACCAAAAAAAAAAAAAAAAGAAACTACATTGCTCTTAGAAAAACAAAGCAAAAAACTGAGATGGTAGGGGCTGGGGACTTAGCTCAGCGGCACAGCTCCTGCCTGGCAAGC